GAACCACAAGATTCATCATACTATCTATATTACGAATTTTCATAATACGCCGCACAATAGCGTCAATAATATTTTTAATGCTAATACCAGACGAATCACAGCCATACGAATAATATGAGGAGGATGAGGAAGAGGAGGATAATGAGGAGGAGGAGGAGGAAGTCGAGGAGGAGCCGTAGGAGGAGCAGGAGGAACATCAGGGGGGGAGGAGTAGGAGGCCACACTATCGTTTTCGGGATTCCATCGCCACGAGTCAACCTGACTGTTGCGTCTTGGCGATTTCGAATCGCGCCAGAACGCCATTCCGAGGACGTCAATACAGAGAAGCAGCCTAACGGTTGCGCCCGCATGGTTCTGAACCCTTCCAAAACACCATTTCTGGTACGTTGATCATGAGAATAGCTGTGAAACCTTTGAGCATTTTGTAGGACGAATGTGCGCGGCGCTAAGGCGAGAGCCACATTTCGAAAGGAACCGCCCTCGACCCGTGGAACTTTTGCACATGTTTGTATCGACTGTGCGCCGCTCGAAGGCGAGCGCCACATTTTGACAAGGAACCGCCTTCAATCCGTGAAACCTTTACACCTTTTTATAACGAATGTGCGCCGCGTTAAGGCAAGAACCACATGTTCAAACCAATCCGCCCTGAACCTTTGAAGCCCTTCCAAGCTGTTTAACGAATGTGCGCCGCGCTGACGCGAACGCCGCATTTTGAAAACGACCCTCCCTCAAGACGTGAAACCCTTGCAGTAGACAAAAAAACAACGCATTTGCGCCGCGCTAACGCGAGAGCGACATTTTGAAAACCATCCGCCGTCCATTTTTGACTTGCTGCCACGTTTTAAGCTTCCGAGTCGTAGCTGCCAAGGAAGTCTCAAGCGAAACGCCCGACCCGCCCAACAAATAGCGTCGGGGTGAAGTTATGTATAAGAGAACGGAATGGATGAGGAGGAAGCGGAGAAGGAGGAGGAGGAGGCGGATTGAGGAGGAGGAGAATGAGGAGGAGGGGGGGGAGGAGGAGGAGGCGGAGGAGGAGGATGATGAGGAGGAGGCGGATTGAGGAGGCGGAGAGGATGAGGATGAGGATGAGGATGAGGATGAGGAGATGAGGAGGGGGGGGGGAGGAGGATGAGGCGGAGGAGGAGGATGAGGAGGAGGAGGAGAAGGGGGGAGGAGGAGGAGGCGGATGAGGAGGAGGAGGATGAGGAGGAGGAGGGGGGGAGGAGGAGGAGGAGGAGGAGGAGGAGGAGGAGGGGAGGAGGAGGAGGGAGGAGGAGGAGGAGGAGGAGGAGGAGGAGGAGGATGAGGAGAGGAGGATGAGGAGGGGGGAGGAGGAGGAGGCGGAGGAGGAGGATGAGGAGGAGGAGGAGGAGGAGGAGGAGGAGGAGGAGGGGGAGGAGGATGAGGCGGAGGACGAGGAGGATGAGGAGGAGGAGGAGGACGAGGAGGAGCAGGAGGAGGAGGAGGAGAGGAGGAGGTGGACGAGGAGGAGGATAATGAGGAGGAGGAGGCGGAAGAGGAGGAGGAGGAGGAGGAGGAGGAGGAGGAGGAGGAGGAGGAATAGGGGGAGGAGGAGGAGGAGGAGGAGGAGGAGGGGAGGAGGAGGAGGAGGAGGAGGAGAGGAAGGAATGGGGGGGGGGAGGAGGAGGAGGAGAGGAGGAGGGGAGGAGGAGGAGGAGGAGGAGGAGGAGGAGGAGGAGGAGAAGAATGGGTGGAGGAGAGGCGGAGGAGGCGGAGGAGGAGGAGGAGGAGGAGGAGGAGAGGAGGAGGAGGTAAGAGGGGGAGGAGGAGGAGGAGGAGGAGGGGAGGAGGAGGAGGAGGAGGAGGAGGAGGAGGAGGAGGAGGGGGGACGGCGGATTGAGGAGGCGGAGGAGGAGGAGGAGGATGAGGCGGAGGCGGAGGAGAAGGAGGATGTGGAGGAGAAGGAGGAAACGGCTGAGGAAGAGGGGGAGGAGGAGGAGGAGGAATCTGTGGATTGAGTGGGATGATGAGGGTGAGGATGAGGATGAGGATGAGGAAGAGGAAGAGGATGAGGAGGATGAGGAGGAGGATGAGGAGGAGGAGGAGTGCGAGGAGGAGGAGGAGGAAGCGGACGAGGAAGAGGACGAGGACTACTAATACGAATACTCGTACTACTCATATTAAGAAGGGCAGTCATATTAATCATACTACGAGCCAGAATTCTGCTAACTCTAAGGCTAGTATCAACAATCATAATACTGCTACTACAAAGCATAATAATACTACGAGGTATTATCAATGCGAACAACAATATATTACCAATACCTGTAAGAACCATACTACTAATACGCATACTCATCAGACGAAGAAGAGGAGGAGGCAGATGATAAGGAGAAGGAGGAAGAGGATGCTGCTGATGATGCTGTTGATGATGATGATGCTGCTGTTGCTGATGATGATGATGATGATGATGATGATGATGATGATGATGATGATGATGATGATAAGGCTGATGATGATGATGATGCTGATGATGCTG